TAGCCAACCATTATGCCAATTTCAATGAAATCTACTATACAAGGAACTACACTAAGAACTAAAATGCAAAATTAATGCGTTTTAATTTATGACAAATGTCAAGAGTCATAGTAAATTTATGTTAAAAAATGACACGTTACGATACTTTTTTCATTCAAATGAATAAAAAAATTAAACACTGTGCTTCCAGTGCGAAAGTGTCTTTATTTTATAAACAAAAATTAATGAAAAATGTTACACTTTACTTGATGGACGTGAAAAAACATTTTTTGGTAGGTACAGTTGGAGACAAAATACTTTGGTCGTCACTTTTCTAACACTAATGTAATTCAAGCTTTAACGTTAAAATGAATGACAATTTCAAATTAATGACAGCTATTATATTTTCCTATCAAAAATATGTACAACTTGTCAACTGTGATTGACAGTAGCTAAAAATAAGGTTAACAGACCTAAAGCATGCTTTACAATTTAATGTCACTCAAGTGACATTGACGACCAAAGTATTTTGTCTCCAACTGTACCATCGGTGGACATAAAAAAAATAGTACATCCAAAATTTGCTCATTGTGTATCAAACTTTTGAAATGTCACTCAAAATCAAAATTGTCAGCAATCTAAAGATGGCCGTTGAAGCTCTTTGAGTTACTAGATTATTGCAATTCTTGGAATTTATAAAAGAACAATTCCTTCAAAAATGTTATTTATTAATAAAGTAACAAAATCAAAATATTTTCATTTTCGTCCGCGACCAGTTTTCGTCTCTGCGCATCCCCACTATCGATGTCCTTCTACGATTTCCCAAACTTTACAGTGCTATCAAAAAATCGATGACATATGAGAAATGTCAAAATAATTTTTATTTAAATTATGCCAGGAAACAGTGGTGAACGATTTGTATGAATAAACATCAACAATATCCGATTTTATGATGTTTTGAGACGTTTTACAGAATAATTCAATTTACTAAGATCAATATTTTATTTTTTTTAAACAAATTTTTTGACATAAAGCAAAAAAAAATTGTGGCTATGGAGATAAACTAATACCAAAATTTCGACTTGGTGATTTCCAATTAAAAAAAAGACTTTACATCGTGTCCTATCTTAATCTTTAGGCATCTGTAGTAAAAATAAGAAACAAAAAAATGAAAAAAAAAATATTTTGGTGAAAGAATGGAGTTTTAGAAACTTTTTCTTAAAATTATTAGGTTATTGAAAAAACTAATTATTTTTTTTTAATAAATCACGTTTATTTAGTAACGTTTTAGTATTATTTTTTGTGCAAATTGTTTCGTCCTGTTTTTGTGTTGTTCTGCCCCTTTGCCTCGAATGTTCCACCGTGGGAAGCTCAAGGACCATCGTTATAAAGCATGCCTTGAACGGGTGTAGCTGACCCAAATTTGACCCCCCATTTAACCCCTCTCTTTCAGGTACATATTACAAGAATTGGGTCACAGTGACATGCTGAAAAACGTAAGAAATTAAGCCAAAACTATGTTTTTTTAATTTTTTTGTTAAGTTGCCGGAAAATAACGCACTTGAAGGCCTTTGTAGTGGCATGATTGAAGCGTGGAAAATATACGGGAAGCCTGAAGCCGTCATTATGTTCCTAATCGAAGACATTACTTACAACATTTGCGATCAAAGATTTCACGAATTTAAAATCAGAGAAATGTGTCCTCAAGTTCGGGTTATTCGTCGCACTTTGACCGATATGGCGGAAAGGGCGAGTCTAGGACCGAAAAAACAGCTACTGATGTATGGTTTTGCAATAATCAGGGGAAACCCAGTGATTGGTTTGTTTTAGAGATGAGTGCGAGGTCGGGGTTATTTATTTTCGGGCAGGGTACGAGCCGGGGCATTACCACAGTCAGAAGGAATGGGATGCGAGGCTTCTAATGGAGAGGTGATTTCACAAGGCGACAAAAAAAGTCATGTCATGACAACTTGACAAATTTTATATCATTTTGTTCGTCTCAGTGAGACAAATCAAATGCACTAAAAAAATTTAAAAAGTCCACACACTTTGAACAAAATATTTTTTTTCTAATTTAAATGAATTTCAAATACTTTAACTTTAAAAAATCATTACTCAATAACTATTAGGCCGATTTCCTTCAAATAATGGGATGGCCTTGCCCTTTAGAATGATATAAAATTTAAAATTGAATATTGGCAAACTTTTCTTCGATCAGTGTTCGAAGTAAATCGAAATAATCTAAGAAAAACCCTACGAGTAATTTTTTTTCATCATTACCATCGTGTAGAGCTCTCTTTATTAGTTGTAATCCAAATTTTCAAAAAAATATACCGAGTAGTTTTCAAGATATGATTTTTTGAAGTTATGGTTTGTTAATCAAGCATTGGTCCATATAGGAGAAATGCATGTTAATCTTACTTAAAATTGCATTTTTATAAAAGTATTTGTTTTAAGACTCTTCTTTTATTTTAAAAATGGTCAATTGCATCTTCTTTGTTCTAATTACAATAAACAAAAACTGTTTGTTTACTTAAAACAAATAAAGAGTACCTGCGTACTAATTAAAGCAAATAAAGAGTTTTTTTGTTGTAAAAATGACTACTGATCATTGAGCAAAGAGGATCTAGAAGTTTAAGGCACAAGTCTTAAATATAAGGGCAAATCTTTTTCAAATCAAATCACTTTCCATTCAGATTTTGATTTGTCCACTTTGTTCTATCTTTCTGAACTTTTTTTGAAAATGTTCTAAGCAAATGCTTTCACATCACTTTCGAGTGATGTTAAATGCAATAAGTCACCTGAATTATTTTGTTGGTACATTCTACAATTAGCTTCAGTTAGCTTGTAGGTAGTAGTTGTTGTGATAACAGTTTCACACGAAGCAACTGACTTATTGCATTCAAGTCAGTAGAAAGTGATGAAAAAGCATTTGCTGAGAACATTTAAAAAAGTTCAGAAAGCTAGAACAAAGTGAACAAGTTGTAATCTGAATGGAAAGTCATTTAAT